CTCCATCTCTTGCTGCTTTGCCAGGGCTATTCTTCTCAGAGGGATCTTTGTTGGACAGTATTTGCCTGTGTTTATTCTGTGCTCCACAAGGTCTGTGCAGCCGAGACCATGATCTCCTTTTGAAAATACATCTGCATAATCCACCAAAATTTCTCTAACCTGAAGAGCCTGTGATGATGACAAATGGATTATGCTCTTCTTATAGAGGTCAGTTAAATGTTCTGGGAGAGGATGTCCTTTATGGTTGTATTTTTTGCCTTAACATTGACTGGCTCTACCTCCTGGCACACACCCAACAATGCCCCTTCCTTAAGTGTCTGCTCACATTTAGAGAAATTAGCCACTGTTATGGGTACTATTTGGTGACCTGCCACACGTGACCTTCCAATATTCACGTCTGCTGGCCTGGATGGGTCTTCCACTATTCCACAAGCATCAGACTTCCTTGGGAATGTTCTTTTATTCTACCCCAAATTATCTTCTCTGATATAGGGGGTATTATAGTTGACTTAAGTTCTGTGACATGCATATCAACAGAAGCAGCAACACTTACTGGAATTTGGCCTTTGTTGTTCCCAAACGTCATTTTATCAAAATTAACTACACACTTCCTCGGTAGTAAGTTGTCCAACCCTAGTATGCATTGGTCTTCAATGTCAGCCAAGTATAATTTGTGTCTGTCCTTCATGCCCATGAGCTCAATAGTTGCCCACAATGGTCCCCACAACCTTGCATAATGTCCTGTCACACCACAGAGCTTCTGTATGGCTTCTGGTACTCCTTTGTGATCTACCAACTTGATACTCACAAGGGTTTGCTGAGATGCAGAATCTATGACAAAGTTGCACTTTTGGCCATTTAGCTTTCCTGTCACGTAGACACTATGAGTTCTTGCCATTTTACACTACTGGTTCCCGAAGCTGACTTATTGATGGTATGCTTCTTACACTGGCTCCTTATATTTCCTTGCTCTCCACAGTTCCAACAACCTTTCTGGGTAGCAGCCTTTCCTGCCGTGACATCTTCCCTGTGTTGAAGTTTCCAGCATTGAGTTTTCTTGTGCCCAGGTTTGTTACAGTGTCAGCAAAGTCCCTCAAACCTCTCTGAAAGACCGAACTTTTCTGGCCTTGAATCCTGATGACTGTACCAACCTTGGTACTTCTGCACTGGACTTAATGTAGGATTCGAATTCAAGAGCTCTGGCCATTGCATCCTGCATAGTAGAGGGGTGTGTTGCTTTACTTGTATCTTCAGTTGTGGACTGTCCAAGGCGTCTACAAACTGATCCCTCAGCAACAGCTTGAGGACATCTAGTGGTGTAGTTGGGTAGGCCTTGTGTGCCATTCTTTCCAAATCCTGTGTCAGCTCTTGCAGGCTCTTCCCTTTAGCACAGACTTTAGTCCTAAACCTAGCCCTGTAGACTTCGGACTGATTTTGAGTTCCATACCTGAGTTGTAGAGCAGATACCAGTGCGTCCCTAATTTAGCAGTGTAAGACTAGAGGGAAGGCAGCTAGTCATCACCACCCACCGCCAACTCTTAGGTTACTCTTTTACCAACGAATAGTGGGATTGACTGTCACATTATAACGCCCCCACGGCTGAAAGGGCGAGCATGTTTGGTGGGACGGGGATTCGAACCCGCGACCTGCAGATTGTGAGTCGAGCACCCTAACCACCTGGCCATGCCGGGCCTAATGCAGACATCTTCAGTCCTGTCAGAAGTCACATTCCAGACATGAGTGTCAGCAATAGGGGTGATCTAGTATGAAGGAAGCCACAGGAATTCGATGAGAAGGCACCATGGGAAGCATATAGAGCACAATTTGAGCTTCTGGCAGAAATGAATGGATGAACAAAGGAGCACAAAGCAGTGTACTTGGCAACGAGCCTGAAGGGGCAATCACTGGAAATACTTGGACAGTTGTCAGCAGATGACAGGCACAACTATAGAAGAACACGTAGAACTGTGTCTCCTCATGTGTAAATAAAATTCAACACAGATCAGTTATTTTTCAGACACCGTACCTTACCCCTCCCCTTGTTACGAGCTCAACACAGATCAGTTATTTTCAGACACCGTACCTTACCCCTCCCCTTGTTACGAGCTCAACACAGATCAGTTATTTTTCAGACACCGTACCTTACTCCTCCCCTTGTTACGAGCTGTCTCGCTCTTCAATAGACCGTGAAATATATATATATATATATATACTAATCACTAAACCCGGTGGTGCTTTGTATGTAGGGACGGACCGGGAAAACATGGCCGATGCATATTATGTATTGCTCATTATAATCTCAAATCTCTCTTATAACAATCTAAGAGACTTTCACACACGACTAACATAGGTTTTCAGAAGCTATCAAAACCTTCAGTTTAGCCAAAGAACATCACCAAAGTAGAGAACCGGCGAGTAATGTAACAGCCAAATGTTCTGCTGATAATTCTATTCTGACGTCAGAAGGGCTAGCTCAGCAATGCCTGAAGTTGTGATGATTTACACACCAAAATGTTGTATTTTAACTTGGGGTACAGAGGCAGTGTAGCGTTTCACTAACTTCAACAAATATATCCATCAAGACATCTCATCATGTCAGACTAAAACTGCTGCCTTCATGGCGACTGACATATATTATAAAAAAATGCATTGGTACTGTTTCTAAACAAAAAGGGGGGAACAAGTAAAAGAAAAGGATGATGTATGGATGGCAGAGCCAAAACGCATAGCAACAAGGTAGAAACGGATACATAAAACCATACAAAAATCGCTACATAAGTAGCCACTGAGTAATGGTACAAGTTTATGGGGATCAATCACTGTAAGACTTTATAACATTATTCAACTGAAATACTTTTATCCATATATATATAGATAGATAGATAGATAGAGGGGGGGAAGAGAGGTTATCTGCACTAGCAGTGTCTCCTCATGTGTACTTAAAACACAGAACACGTAGAACTGTGTCTCCTCGTGTGTACTTAAAACACAGAACACGTAGAACTGTGTCTCCTCGTGTGTACTTAAAACACAAGTTCTTCGTGTTCTATGTTTTAAGTACACACGAGGAGACACAGTTCTTCGTGTTCTATGTTTAAGTACACACGAGGAGACACAGTTCTTCGTGTTCTATGTTTAAGTACACACGAGGAG